AAATATGCTATTTTTGAGTTTTAATTTAATTATTAAATTAAATAGGTCTAAGATTTAATTTTTCCATATTTCTATAGAAATTACATTTTTTTAAAAGGATTAGTCCACTGAATTATATGGCAGATGAAGTTTTATTAAATTACTCATTCATGTACCATGCCATGGCATATTAGAAACGATGTCATGTACCATGAAAATAAGTTTAATATACATTAATATAAATGTATAATGTGATTAAGTATTTTTAAGTCAACATGAAAGAGTATAAATTTCAGTTAATATTGTTTATCGAAAAACTCGATATTTTTGTAGTACTGGTAACCCACAGATTTCAAAATAAATTATAAAATATTGTACTTTTCTTCTAATGTATAGATACATCAAGCACATATATATGATGAAGATCAAGGATGCCTGACACCTTTGTTGTCACAGTTTCTCTAGACTATAGAGATTTCTTATGGTTTAGTTTTATGATTTACATGGTATATGAAGTTTTATTAAATTACTCGTTGGAAAATTATAACTGATAACTATGTACCGTGAAAAAAATTTTAGGATACATGAGTATGAGTTCTTAATTTGGTTAGATATTTTAAAAAAATACTAAAAAGACTAAACTTAAGTACAAATAGCATTTAATTCGGAAAGTTACAAAATATCTGTTGAAAAATATTTAACAAGATCTTAACTTTTAAAAATTATGTAAATATATCACTATTTCGAATTAGTAAATAGTATAAATTATACATATATATATATATTTAGTTATCTTTTATGAAATAAAAAAAATAAAAATTCTATCCTTTTTATCTATATATTATAAAATCATAGTGTATCATATTAAAAGAAAATTATTGTAGTAAAATTGTATTAAATGGATAAATTACTCTATTTTATTTTCATAAATAGAAAAATTAACGTTAAAATTATAATACGCAGAATGGGTTAACATTAGTAACTATATAACACATGTATAAAATTAACATATAAAATTTTATATTTACAATATATTATCTAAATAAACATAAAAATTTGCTAGTTTAGTATCAATTAAATATAAAATAATTTTCAAACATGATTTTTCATGCATATATTAGTTTATTTTATAATCAAATGCAAATCTAAGAAAATAAATATATAATAAAAACGATTGAAACAATTATTATTAACATGCGAACTATAAAATTATCGGATTTGAAATAGTTTTATAAACATTTAAATATATAACTAACGTCACTAATAATCTAAATTAAATATTTATGTATATAAAATAAAAATAAAATCTGCGCGGTTGCCCGGTTCAAAATCTAGTAATCTTGAGTAATGCTTTAACGTACCATACCGATTTTATTAAATTGTTAGATAAATAACTAGATGTTTGCTTAAAACTAGATGTTAACAAAATTTTTAATTAAACTGTTAGATAAATAACTAGATGTTTTCGTAACCTACATTGGCAGGCGAATTTTGAATGTCTTTTAAATGACATAGCACTTTCTACAATTTATATAGATGTTTTTGTTTGATTGTCTCTTTCAATTTTGTTCTTTATTAGTTATAAGAAATCATGATAAACCAATTGAAAACAAAACACAAATCATAACAACTTAAAATCCTAAGCGGATTAATAAAAATAGTTTCCAAACACAAAAACACGATCCAAACTTAGAGAATGTTATACATATATGATAATACAAATTGCATGCATGATTGATTTTTTTTGAAAAACACATACTAAGATTATACGACATAATGGAACAAATTAGAATCCCAATTACGCCAAGTCAATGATGATCTCCAAAACTCTTAAAACAAATAGAGTCGACCCAGTGTCGGTCCGGACGTAACTGGCGCCTAAAGCGCATTAGAAAATTACTGCCCCTTATTTTATTTTTATGAATTTTTAAATACATAATTAAAATAATGGAAAATGTTATTAAAATTAATTTAGAAAAAAGTTCATGAATATTAAGAAAAAATAATCTTCTTAATGTAAAATCGTTCATCAACTTTGAATAATCACATATTTCAACATGACATTATCAATAATTTATTTAATCACTAGTGAAATACAACCGAAAATCTATTCTTTATGAAATGTACTTTTAAGAAAATAGCATATTAGAGCGGAATTTTTAACAATGTGTAGTAAAGTATATATGTATTTTATAACAACCATCAATTTATTTTAAATTTTCAACATAAGCGTTTTTATAATTTTCTTTTGCAATATTTAAACATTGAAATTTCAGTGTTGATCTTTATAATGTCAAAAAGCCTAATCTACTTTATATTAGTTTATTTTTATTCAGATTTCAAGAATTTCTAAAAAGATTATTACAATCATCAAAAAATAGAGAAAACAGCATTTACATGAATAATTGGGAAATGCAACGATACCAGTAACATAATCAATAAGAGAGCACAGACATTTCAGTGAACGGCTAACATAATGAATATCAAAACATGAGACACAATAAATAGTTATGTTTTTATTGATAATTATTTAATCTATACTATTATTTAAGAAGTAAATTTGCTTAGTTGTCAACTTCTCCTTGATTTTAGATAAATTTATTTATTTACTTTATTTAAATAATTTCATATAATTTACCTTATTTAATAAAAACGAATTTATATTAATATATTAAATTTTTAGTCAATAAGATAATTCTTGTGAATTATTTTAGGTAAATTTGTTTATTTACTTTATTTAAATAATTTCATATAATTTACCTTATTTAATAAAAACGAATTTATATTAATATATCATATTTTTAGTAAATAAGATAATTCTTGTGATTATGTTGTTATCTTAAAATATTTTTTATATATAAAACTTAAATTTTAAATTAAGATATAAACACTATTATATTTATCTAAAACGAATTTATATTAGTAACTTAATATTTAAATATAATTAAAACGAAATTATATTAATAATTTAATATTTTTCTAAAATAAGATAATCATTATGGATTATGTTGTTATGTTGAAAATATATTTTCCTATTATAAAATTTAAAATTAAGATATAAAAATTATATTATTAATAACTAAATATAAATCATTAAAAAAATATTTGAAAAGTGAATTTGTTGATATTAGTAAAATTAGTAAATATAATAGTGTTTATATCTTAATTTAAAATTTAAGTTTTATATATAAAAAATATTTTAAGATAACAACATAATCACAAGAATTATCTTATTTACTAAAAATATGATATATTAATATAAATTCGTTTTTATTAAATAAGGTAAATTATATGAAATTATTTAAATAAAGTAAATAAACTAATTTACCTAAAATAATTCACAAGAATGATCTTATTGACTAAAAATTTAATATATTAATATAAATTCGTTTTTATTAAATAAGGTAAATTATATGAAATTATTTAAATAAAGTAAATAAATAAATTTATCTAAAATCAAGGAGAAGTTGACAACTAAGCAAATTTACTTCTTAAATAATAGTATGAAGTGGATTTGATGTTTGCTGATTTGTCATATCTTCCATGATTTTAGGTAATTTTGATATATTTAAAACAAATTGATATTAATAGTATCAGATTTTTAACAAATAAAATACTTCTTATGTATTAAGTTGCTGTCTTGAAAATATATTTTTCTATTAGTAATTTAAAATTAAGATATAAAAAGTTGTAGTTATTCTATAATTGAAATAAATTTACACTAATAATATTATACATTTAGAGAATATGGTAATTCTTATGTATTATGTTGTTATCTTGAAAATATATTTTTATATTATATAATTTAAAAGTAAAATAGAAAATTATTTATTATTAATTAAATATAAATCATCACTCAAGAAAAATTATTTAAGAAGTGAATTTGCTGATTTATTAAGTTCTCCATGATTTTAGGTAATTTTAACTATATATCATAATTTCTATAATCTTATATAATATAAAATTTTCATATTATATTTTCAGAAAATAAATAACTTATGCATTATATTGTTATCTTGAAAATATGTTTTTCTATTATAAAATATAAAATATAATCAAGAAAAATAGTTATAGAAATATATTCTTGTAAATATTTCTTATGTTTGAGTTTTGTCATTGATGATTATTTGATGTTAAATTTTTTTTTTTTAAATATAAATAATAACTCATTATGCTGATTTTTAAAATAATGAAACATCAACTAATAAATATTCATAAGAGAATTATGCCCGCAAGTGCGGGCAAAACACCTAGTGTCTATATAATTAAAAAGTAAGATTCTTATGAAAATAAGCGTATCTCATTTACTTGTCATCATAAATGGAAGAAGGAACATAGGCTTCAAACTCGTCACCTAAGGCCATCATTAACGCACAGCTGCTTATGTGGGATGCTTATTATTTTTTTTCTTTTTTTTTTCTTTAATTTTGTTTGCTTTTTTAAAAAAAAAAAAAATTTAAAAAGTAACGAATCGCGGGTCGCCACGTGTCAGTGGGACCCGTGAACTGTGCAAGCATCCCATTTTTATCGATGCTTATTTTGGTTTTTTAGGCAGCAGATTCTGTTTTTTTGGGGGACCCTACCTTAAGCATTTGCTCTAAGCGCCTGCGTTAAAGGTGCCCTAAAAATCTAGAGGAAGAGTTTATGGACCACTATACTATGAGACTTGTCTCTGTTTGGTGCCCCTAAAATACATATAAATCTGGCGCCTAAAACCCATGTTTTACGGGCTTTAGCACAGGGGCGGCCCTGAGTCGACCCCAGATCTTTTTTGAGAAGTAACATACTAATATTATACGACATAACGTAGAGCGACCAGATTTACATGGTATACTACTACCACGAAAGAGTTCATTTCTTAGGGCACAAACATAGAGAAAATAAAAACACACACAAACAGGTAAATAAGAGTACTTTGCTTCTTTAACAAGCAACTTAAAACAAAACACACAAACTTCAAACCCTTACTACTTTCTCTGCTGCTACGACTTCATCATTTTAATTCCTTGTGCCACACTCTTTCAGTTCCCATCATCTGATGACTTCAAGTAATTAAGGGTCTCTCCACCATCCCCTGAGCTTCCTCCTCTGCCTTCACCACTTCCCGTTTCCAACTTCCCACGACCAAACTCATGAAACCCACCAGCCTCTCCCTGAAACATTTGGAGACCGCTGCTTCCTCCTCCACTGCTTGAGCTCATCCCAAGCTGGCTATTGAGCAATTGCTGATGCTGAAGCGTTGCATAAGGCTGCTGCTGCTGCTGCTGAGCATACAACATTGAAGAACGAGCTGCCATTAGAGACTGCTGAGTCATCTGCTGCTGTTGAGTTGCCTGTTGCTGCTGCAAATAATGTGACCCTCCTTCTCCCTGAATCAGCCCACCACCACCAGATCCATACTGCTATATATATAAACCAACAATACCAATGAGTTTTTTTTTTTTTTAAATCATTTTGAAGAAACAAATGTAAAAAAAAAATCCTGATTTACCTGGCTATGCACGCTTGGAGGTTGAGGCTGAGAATCTGCTATTGCAGCTAAGTACATTAGGTTACGTTGAAGCCTTGCCTGGTTCCTGTAATCATTAGGTTTTAATTACCATATTAGATCATTTCTTATTATACAATAAAACACAAATGAAATCAAAGAGAGTATGTGCTCTTACTCGGCACACTCGCTGAGCTTTCCAGAGTTTTGAGATTCAACTATCTTCAGGATCAACGATTTGTTCTCGTCCAAGTACTACAAATTCAAAATATTATACATCATCATTAGAGAGTAATGGTACAAACAGAACCGGTTAAAAACATTTGATCATTTTTTTTGTTGGAATATAGACATAGATAACTCAAGGAGACCCCAGTACTTTAGATTCCGACTTATCAAAAGACAAACGTTGAAACAATCACAAAAGTGTATGAAAGATTTTCTTTAGAAAAAGATTTGTGGACCACGAAAGGTTTAGATTAGGACCAGATGTCAGTCGGACCACAAAGTTTATCTGGTCATGCAAGCAAAATAAGGAACACTTGGGACTGCAAATACACTTAGATATCGCCTAATGATAACAATCTAAACAGGACCACCACATTCACATAAATGGCTTTGTGGTTTTTGCCATCAATAAATTTCAAGAACCCGGAAACTAAGATTAAAAAAAAGGTGGAAATGTGAACAATCTTCAGTTCACAAGATTTGTGTGTTTTGACACATTATTTTCATTACATGTTTCAAGAACTTAAAACAGCTGGACCTTTAAACTGTTACTGTTTTTTTTTCATAGAAAGAATCTTTAGAAGGACATGCATCTAGGCATCAAAAATTGTTTAATTAATAATTTTCAAGCTTGTCCCGGTTTAGACAAATGATTTCTGTCTAAAGCAGCAAAAAAATGAAGATGTAAATTATAAACCGAATTTCTCTGGACAAGGAAAAAAACTTGAATCAATGGTAAAAGAAATAGAAGCTGATGCACAATACAGAAGATCAGACACGGCTACACCGAGATAATATAATCTAGAAGTTGAACTATCTATATTAACTACATAAAAAACAAGAACAACAAAAGCCAATAATCAAAGTCTGAGTTTAGATTCACCCATGAGAAATAAATATGTTGTAAGAGAGCAAAATAAAAGGGTCTCTCAGGGTTCTTGCAAGAGAGTTTCCATCACTCTCGTTCCTTTAAAAATTCAAAGAAAATAAAGAAAGAGATAATAAATAGTAGTAGAAGGAGGAGGAGAAGAAGAAGAGAAACCTGCTGGATATGATCAGAGGTAACATTGCTGGGGTAGTAACCAGCCATCATGGGCTGCATCTGCATCAGGTGCTGTTGCATATTTCTTTTGCTATTTTATATAAAACCTGATATTATTCTTATTTACTTTTATTTATGTTGCAAAAATGTTTTATAGAGAGAACCCCCACCACTTAATTCAAAGAAACAAGTAAAGCCAACCAGAGAGAGATATTACACCTTTTGTATCTTATGTCTCTCTCTCACACACACACACTTCTTCTGTATATAGAAAACTCTTAACTATTGAAGATGTATATCTCTGTGTGTGTGTTATCTCGCTTTCTCTCGTCCACAAAAGTTGTTTTGCGTTAAAAGACTGAGAGAGACAGTGAAGTCTCTTAAATAGAGAGATAGAGAGGGAGAGGTGGGAGAAAGAGAAAGAGTCTTTTTCTCTTTTTCTTGGGGTTTGGGGTTTGGTTTTGTTGGTTTCTCTCTGTCCTCATCCTATCTTTGTCCCTGTGAAGAAGAAGAGGTCACGTGACGAGTCATTCTTATTATAGAGACGTGAGACCTTTACATACACTCCATAAACATGTGTATCCTTTATTATTTTTTGTATTACTTTGAAGTTTGAACCCTTGGCTAATGGCTACAGTGAACTGCCAATGTTAAAAACATATAGTGAGCTTCTAATTATTTTATGGAAGACCTCCAAACGAGACTATTTACCCTTCGTATATTTATTCACATACGGTTTATTTCGCCTTGCATGTCTTGAATTTTTCAAAAAAATGTATTTCCTCCAATATATATATTAAGATACTTTTACACCAGCCCCCAAAAGTAATGTTATTATAACTTTGAATGCAATAATGTTATTATGAAATAAGGATATGTTGACTATTTCGAATAAGAAAATGTAAATTCATGTTTTTCTGCATACTTAATAAAGACATTATGTTTATCAACATTGTGAATATATACATTCTTAAAAATAAATGTACAGTAGTTTGCATTTTTGTATCAAATCATATTTTCTGGTCGGTGGGTTACATAATTCATAAAATTAGCTGATAAGTTCCTAATTTTATATTAATTAGTATAAAGCGAAACTGAAATATAATTTGATTTGCATTTAATTTAATTTCTAAAATTCAAAAAAAAAATAAAGATTTAACAACTAAATTACTCTCTAGTAGATGTTAAATATAAATTAACATCTAATTCGCTGATACCAAAAATGGATCCGAGATATTCCTTCTGCATATATGAACCACGGAGGCTCTACTTTTAATGTTTATCTGTTTAATATTTTAATTAGCACCCAAAACTATAGTATTGCCAATGAACATTAAACTAATCTGTAAGGATAAATGATTTGTTTTGTTTTCCCGATTAATTATGCCTAAAACGAGATAATAACTAGAGCAGTGCTTCCACGCTTACTCTAGTAGATAGCAAAAAGCAAACCAAAACAGCAAAATTGTAAAAGCAAACCAAAATAATTAGAACGGCACTAAAAATGTATTCAAGTTAGTATCTGGAGTGGTTTAAACTTTAAATGAAACGACCACTATGTATATTTAGGTAAAATATATAGTAAAACCAGTTATTGAATGTCAATCAAAAAGTAATGGTCGAAGGTGATAAACTTTTAAAAGCATGATATAAACTCGTTTTTCTCGTCAGCTTCATTTTTCTCTGGAGTTCTTCTATTCATGTTCCGACCAGTCAAAATAGTATTAAAAATCGGACGAATAAGCTGTGGACTATTACACTTATATCTTGTCCAAGTTAGTCGGGTTTCTGAAAGAAGATATAGAACTGAAACTGATTGTTTTTTATTGTACAAATAATTAACGTGGTAATACCAAAAAGTGTTGTATCAAATATATCTTTGCTCAAACCAAAATAGATTTGTTCATATAATGCCAGCGCAACGGGTGAAACTTTGAGCCTACCTTTTTATTGACAGCAAATAAAATCCTTAGGTTTAAAGCGAGCACGAAAAATAAATGAGAAACACACTTTACATATAAACGGCTATAACAACGTAACTCGGATGTGTCAAACATGTGATGTCCACGTATATTTTATGTCTTTTCTCGCCTAAAATTTGACAAGTTTTGTTAATTGTCGGTTTATAAATAACTAATGAGACATGCCTAATGGCAAGTGATAGTACTATTGTGTTTCAGTTTATAATAAAAACCAACAAATCCACCTAATTTTCTTTCATTTTTTTTTCATATACCAAGTTAATATTTTAACTCCTTCTGTTCCAAAATATATAAGTTTTAAGTTTAAAATATATAAGTTTTGAAATTTTCACACACATTAAGAAAAGATATTAAATATTGATTATTAATAGACTATTTTTGTTATTAACGATTTTTACAACTTTTAACCAGTTGATTTTCAACAAACACAATCATCTTTTATTGAAGATTACATTTACCATTGTTAAATTATTTGTATTTTCTTTATAAGACGTGAATATTTTGAAGGGAGTAGTATTTAGATGTCTTTAGCAAATGTAAGATTCTACATCTGACAAGAAATACATGCTAACGTGCTCTATATTGAATACTGATATCTCCTTTTTGTTAAAACTAATATCTCAAGAATGATATGGACATAAAACTTTTGGATTTCCACCTACCAACAATTTATCCATCTCTTGTTTACAAGAGAGAAAACAATGTATCCATCTCTAATCTATGATTTGACCTTCCACCATGATCTTAATTTGATTGTAATAAAATGACTATAGCCAATATACATTCGCCGGTCACTCTCAAATTTTAATTCTTGAGTAGATTAAAGTGATATAACATGAAATTTAAAGTGAAATAGCTTACCTGCTTTTTTTTTTATGAAAGGCTTAGCTTACCTGCTTTCAAAATTCTTGTTGAAGAAAAAATTGAGCATACATACTTAGGTTTCGAGTCACCAATTTAGAATAAATTCTTATTTGAGTACTGCATGTTTTCCTAATTAGAAATTGCTTTGAGAAGATACGAAAATCAAGAAAAATAATTCAGAAACAATGGATGAAATAATAAAAATCATAGCAGAGAGAAAAACACGGGAATATAAACGTAGGGAATGAGGTATGCGTATCTAAGATATTATATAAAATGATGCATGAAATTAAACACCATCGAGCTACTTGTAGCAATGTTTTTTTTTTTTTTTTTGTTTCTTGACGTCACTTGTAATTTATATGTCTGGCTCCTCATACGTATTATATATATTAGTGGCTTTTCGTTGGTCTGTCCGTATGGCCAGCTTTAGACGAATATGTAAACGATAGCTTATTATAAAGCTTTTTCTATGATTTAGAAACAGCCTTTTTTATAAAGTGTTTGAATCCTCTATATAAAACCATGTAGTTTAAAGAATTATAATCAATGAAGAATTATAGAATGAAATAGGTAAATGTAATTCACACAGAAACCTTGTGGCTATTATTTGGTATAGTCCTGTATTCTTCTCGCATTTTTGGATATATGAGAAAAGCGTCAAAGCTTCGACTACTTATTTCAGAGTTCTTAAGTGACCACTGACCGCTACAAATGTTCGTAACAAAATAAACAAGACTGATTCCTGTCACATACTCTAGTGGATTTATGAATTTCACCAAAAAATATATTGGATTTTTGATATTCCATGCCTATGACACAAGGTTTTATAACAATATTGGACAAAAAAAATATAAATATACCAATATTGGACTTATGATAATCGTTCGTAGTTCAATTTGTCAAAACATTCAGGAAATTTTACATATGTGAGAAATGAAGGATCAATAATTAAGGAATTGGGTCCCAAGAGCTCACATGATCTCTGAAAGTCATGTCCAATCCATCTCTCAAAATTTGCAATAAGGTGGTTGACAAGACTTCTGTTTTTTTCTTTGTTTTAGGGACAAGACTCCTCTTTGAGAATTGAGAGTTGACGCTTAAAATGCTACAAAAATAATAAATATACAAAACTATAAACGACTACTTATCCAGTGGCACTACTCCCAACTTGAAAGTCTTGTATGCAATGTCTTTGGACTAAAACCGGTAATATATATGAAAATATATTACCATACACTAGATCATAATACTGAACCCTTCAAACCCAAAAATATATATATACAGAGTATAATAAATAAAAATTCGTGCACAGTACTTTAAATATTTTTTTCATGTGCTTGTTATTAATATTAGATAGAAAGATTACACCATTTGAGATACATATGTGGCTATCGGAATCTTTATCAAAACTGATTAAATATACAGATTGTCCAAAAGAGTGAGACATGGCCTTGCAAAAGAAAAACTAACTAGCATCAAACAAACTACTTTGAGTGACTTAAGCCAGAATCCAAACTCTAGCCTTAACAAATGTACCAAGTAATCATGAGAGAAAAGGAAGGATGATATTGATCTAAACCAGAAGCACCGTAAAATCCTCTAAACAAGCTATATATATATATATATGCAAATGTTATGCTGTTGGTGTTTGTGGTTAGTACTAACTGATGTCCATAAATTGAAAACACATATATAAACTTGACCCGAACTTGCATAGTCTTTATGTGAAGGAGTCTAAGGAACCAATGATTTGAGAATAGTGGTTAGGTTAACTATCATTGATATTGCTATGTGTTTGTGTTTTTTCCAACCAAGGGAACATGTGGTGGGTATGAGGGCATTAATCATTATCCTGCGAGTGAGTGTCATCAAGATAATTTTAGAATCTGTACAAGGAAACATGCCCTACTTTTCGACCCATTCATCTCCTCTTCAGTTTGGTTTCAATTTTAAAAAATTAAATGCTCTTCAACTTCGAATCATTGTGATTAAAGTTTCTTATCTTTCAATCAGTGTTTGGTAAGCATGGTGTATACAAATTACATCAAATCTAGTTTTACTCAATCTGTCAAATGTTATTAACTTCATAATAACTAATTAGAATTTGATGGAATGGTAAAAGGAGTTATTAACTTCTAAGTCTAATGAACAAACATAATATATATTAACAAATATTTAAAACTGAAAAGAACTATTTCTATTTATTATTCCTTATATATATATTCTTGATCA